TGCGGGACGGGACTAGGGAGGCTCCCGCCCGCGCGGCCCACCCTGGCCCAGCCCGGCGTCACAGGCCGCGGCTTTGTTCACGCGGGGCCCGGCGAGGCCGCGGGAGGGGGATCTCAGCGCAGCCGCTAACGGCCCGGCCCCACACTCCTTACCGACTTGAAGGCAGGGAGGAAAGGCCGAGGGCACTGAGCTGCGGACGAGGTGGCGGCGGCGGCAGCTAAATCCTCCGAGCGGAACCAACGCGGACAGCGGGGGGAGGGGCCTCCCACCGGGACAAACCATTGCCTTCCGCCCTTGGAGGGGGGGGAGGCTGCCACATTCCGCCCCGCCCGAGCTCACCCTGCCCCTCCCCGCCCCCCACATCCCTCCAGGGCAGAGCCCCGCCAGCTCCGACCCGCGCCGCGAAAGGCGCAGTGCGCTCCCCTCCGCCCCTCGCTTTCCTGTCTGAATGAGCTCGCCCAGCCCCTCCCCTCTCCCGTGCCTCACAGTCAATGGCTGCAGGCTCCTGCCCTCCCGGTGGGTGGATCAGTCTATTGGAGGGGAAGACCAGGGGGTGGCGGAGCTGCTTCTCCGACTGTGGTCGATGGTTTGTTCCGTGCTGGAGGGGGCGGGCCCGGGGGCAATGGACGGAGCTTGACAGGCGCCTGGGGCCGTGTGCAACGAGTAAGGGGCCGTGTGCAGCGAGCCAGGGTGTGACGCACAGAGCACGTGACCGTACTTCCCCTGCTCATGGGCTGGGCAGTGATTCTCAGGGGGCTCTAGCTGAAGCAGGCGAGGATGGCTTGAGACCTTTCAGAGGTGCCCCAAGCAGCCCTGCAAAATGCCCTGTTAGGTGTGCAGACAGGATAAACCCCGAGGTTTCAGTAAGCTTCAGGGAGCCCACAGCTGAGCTCTTCCTGCTTGGCTGAAATAGAAAAAAACTGCTGTTATTTATCAGCAGGCAAAAAAGAGCAAAAATGAAGTGCTTGCATTTTCCCAAGGGGGGAGGGGGGTCCTCAAGTCCATCCTGAGCTGCTTTCATTCTATAAAAGGTTGAAAACCATTGGGCACTGGTGTTGTGCTCCCAAAGGGATGGCAATTCTTATGGCTGGCAGGCCACTGAACAGGTGTTGGTGAGCTGTGCAGGGCTGCACATGTAAAATCTTTGGGAAGATTTAATTTTAACAAATGATGATGATGATAATGAGGTCAGTGTTGCCACACACATATGTAGGAAGCGTAAGGGCTAAAAAGGCAGCAACAAGTAAAAATGTCCATGTCAATCAGACCTTGGGTGCCCAAAGGAGGGCTGTACGTGTATGGGTATTCATAGGTGATGTGGTCAGCAGTCTGATCTTGTCTATAACAAATTACAGATAAGAAATCATATACTAAAAATCAAACATCTGTAATGAGGGATCTCAAATCTGCATGGGAAGTATACGGTGTGGCAGCTTCTTTTATCTTGGACTTTCCCTCGCGCCCTGCAGTGCTGTCTGGCGGAGGAGCCCTGTTGTGTGCTGCCTGCAAGTGATGGCCAGGAGATGAAAACTGCTGCAGTTTTCACCTCCCAGGCATCGGGCATAAGTGGCGAACAGCAAGCAACAGGGCCCCTCCACTAATCAGCAGTGGGAGAAGACGTGGGGGAAACTCCAAGATTAAGGAAGTTGTCACACTGTGCACTCCGGGCATGAATTCCAGAGATCCCTCCCTAACTTTAACATTTTAATTTTATTTAAAAAAATTTTTGTCCTGATTCATGTTTTTTTAATAGTTTATATGGGTGATTGCATAACAGTTCAAAATAACATCTTACTCTTGTATATTATGTGTGGCAGGGGGGAGGGTGTGGGAGAGTATGGGGCATGTGGGGAAGTCAGGAAAGCTGAGCAGCACCCCTGCCAGGAAGCTGAGTGTTAGCTGGGGCCTGGGCTGAGGCTGAGGCAGTGTTGTCCATGGGCGTGGAGCAGGTGTGAGTGGGAGTGCAGCACAGGCTGCCCCAGGCAAGAGCCGGCAGGGCTTGGCTCTATGTTGAGCACGTGATGGGCAGCTACATGCCAGATACAATCACTTGGCAGGACGGATCCTGCCCACAGGCCATATTTTGCTACCCTTGTGTTACGAGACCGCTGTTTAAACAATCCCCAGTTTGTCATTTTCTAGGTGTCCCTGTAAAGAAGATTGAGTCTTGATCTTTGGTAACCTTTAACCTGCTGATTTGCAAGTAAACATGGACTTTGCATCAGGTATGATGCTCTGTGCTCACTCCTGGCACTTTATTTACAGAAACACATAGTCCTGTGATTTTCAATCAGGCTGAACATGACAGCATGTGTTATCTGCTTATACTTGAAAACACTGATGTCAGGGGAACTGATTATAGTACAGTTGTCCCTGGGCTGATCAAAAAAATATTTTGTTTTGTAGCACAGACAGCACCTAAGCCATGTTTTAACCATAGCCACAAACAAGCTCTAAGTCTGTACTGGGGACTCAGTGAAAACACATTCAAGTACCATTTACATTAAACTTCCAGTAACTACATCTTTCTGCGCACCAAATTTATTGGGAATAATTCAAAGTATGCCAAAGTAAAACCCATGTCTGAAGAGAAATAGGCCCCTGACTTTTGAATACTGTAAAACTTTGTTTCTATTGATTTTTCACAAGCTTGGGGATAGCAGAATACATATTAAGAGATCAGTGGGGAAAAATTACCCTAGTTTAACCACACTGCCTTTTATGGAGCCACTAGGGTATGTTGCAAAGTTGTGAAAAATCCTGATTTGGTGAATGCACACAAGGAGGGGTATAATATCTATAATGTAGAAAGGAGAGTGGGTCAGTTAACCTGCTGCTTAGCACAGAGCTACTCTCTGGATTTCAAGGGAAGGTGTTTTCCTTGAAAAGGAGTGATGATTGAATCCATGGTCCTTTGCTATAACACTGCTGTTCTTGGAGATGAAACACAATGTACATTCCTGCACAAAAATCAATGTTAAGATGGAATGAAAGCTATATGTGTTTTAATAATTTGAAAGGAAACACTCAGATACCATAATTTTTAAACCCCCAGATGTCTAACAGTCAGAAAATAAAAAAATTATGATTACATTTACAAAGCAAAACCAGTATTGAAATATCGAATTGAGATATCCCAGACCTTTAATTCTTACTCGTACCGCCCCCACTAACACCTTATAATCTCACAGCTACTTAGCACATAACAGGTTAGAAATCAAGATAGTTTGAGAGATTGATTTCTAGTGAAACAGACATGGGAAATTTATGTGTAACTGTATCAGATGGCGATTCTTTGCCTCTTTCCTCTTCTCTCTGAAGGCATCATGAAAGATGAGAAACATTGAGACCAAATGGCTTCACACCTTACGTGTTGCTAGGAGCTCCTTCTGTCCCATCTTTCTGATGGGGACATGGGCTACAGTGGGGATACAGTGACAGTACAACTCCAACCAGAAGGACCCACCTCCTACCTCAGAAAAGCACGTGAACTGTTGCTTTTTTGAAGGCCAGAAGTATGTGGGTTACATTTAGAGACAGCTACTGTGACAGTGAAAAGGGCAAGGATTATTTGGGGGCAGATGCTAGAGGAGGAGAGCAAAGTGAAATCAGTGTGTGGGGGGTGGTGTTGGGTCAAGCACAGCTGCAATGGCGATTGACGGTGCTCCTACGACAGAATTATTCTGTTCTCTGAGACAGCATCTCCTACTGAGGACATGAATTAAGATCTTGGAGCAGATTTCACGTATAAAATAAGCACTCTATTTTATATCATATGTATTCTCTCCCGCCTCCCCCTTTTTCTGCAGACTGCCTGTTGTGCATTTTTGCACAAGCTCTATTCATGCCTATTCCTCAACTGCAGCTCTGGTAGGCACCCAAAATAGAGACGTGTTACAAAAATAAAATGTTGTGCTTTAGTTACACAGGTCTGCATAATCAAGTGCTCTATGTGTGTACAGCCTCATTATTTTGCAAGAGTGGGAAAAGATAATCAGAGGTGCCTGGCACCCAGTCTAATATTCAGACTACTAGTCGTATTGCCTTACATGTCCCCTACCAAACCTCCTCCAGAGGTCAAGATTGTGAGTGTCTGTGACATGTAAGGACACAAAAGGGTGGGCGGATGAGAAAAGGATGGGTTTCAACACTGACAAGTGCAAGGTACTGCACCGGGGGAGGAAGAACTAGCAGTATACCTACAGGCTAGGGAACTCTCTTCTCATCAGTGCAGAGGCAGAAAAGGATCTTGGAGTCATTATTGATGCCAAAATGAACATGGGCTGGCAGTGTGGGGATGCAGTCAGGAAGGCCAACTGCACCTTGTCATGCATCCACAGATGCGTCTCAAGCAGGTGATACTCCCCCTCTGTGTGGCACTGGTCAGGCCGCAGTTGGAGTACTGCATCCAGTTCTGGGCACTGTACTTTAGGAGGGATGTGGACAACATGAGAGGGTCCAGAGGAGGGCCACTCGCATGATCGGGGGCAGCAGTGCAGGCCCTATGAGGAGAGGCTATGGGACACGAACCTGTTCAGCCTTCACAAGAGAAGGCTGAGGGGGGATCTAGTAGCCATTTACAAACTAGTCAGAGGGGACCAGCAGGCCCCCTCTGGGGGAGTCCCTGTTTCCCCGCTGGCAGCGGGTAGATTCAGACTAGATATCAGGAGGCGCTACTTCACTGTCAGGTAGGCTAGGATCTGGAACCAACTTCCAAGAGAAGTGGTGCTGGCTCCTACCCTGGAGGTCTTTAAGAGGAGGCTAGATGAACATCTTGCTGGGGTCGTTTGACCCCAGTACTTTTTCCTGCCATGGCAGAGGTCAGACTTGATGATCTGCTCAGGTCCCTACCTACTATGAAACTATGAATTTAGGAAGCTAGCATGCCATTTCTTTAGTAGATCTGCATCTGATGCCATGTTTGTCTGCAGAACTCAGTGGAATTCTTAATGTACAAATTGATTATACTGAAAACACACAAGATCTGATCTGGTTCCCAATGAATTTAACGGGACATGGTCACGGCCTAAACCATTCGTACCCAACTCTCTAATTAGCCCTAAACTCCCGTATGCCCACTAAGAATAGCAAAATTGTGGCAAAAGTGCAGTTTCTAGGATTAATTATTTTTCAGATTGTTTAAACTGCAATGGTTTAGGAAGAAAATTCCCCAAAGTGCAAAAGACCTTGTTTTGGAACAAACGTTCTGTCCAATTTGCCTTAAACTTTCCAGAAAAATATTCTACTCTGTCCTAATGTTATAAAATGATGCAGATGAAGTTTCAGGCAGATTAATGGGATTATGCGTATAATGAAAAGCTAGTGTCAGCCTTAACAAGATAAGGTGATTTGTGTATCTCATTAAAATAGACGGTTATGAAGTGGGCTCTTCCCCTTCTGCCATTCATGGGCTTGTGGAATTCAGTGGTATATTTATTTCTAGTAAAAGCTCAGTTCATCTTCTGAAATATGTAGAGACTTGTGTTTACTTCTCTGTGCCTTGGCAGCTATACATTTCACAAATTCAAATGCAAGAACATATGTCCCAATTCCCAAAGTGCTGGAATAGAGGATTTTGTTTGTTTCAATCATTTTGTTTGTTCCATATAATTCATTAAGTAACCACTAGGTAAGCTAGTAATGAATAGACATGTAAAAACAGTAGGCCATTTGATACAGTAAATTTAGGAATGAAGGGAATAATATACAGTATTACCCAATTATCTAAGTTAATAAAGAACAAATCTTCAACAATATGCAGGGAAAATCTTGATCTCATTGAATTCAAAGAGAGTTTTGCTGTAGATTTCAAAAGGACCAGAATTTCACCTAGTCTTAGCATGTACTAACAGAGTGGTAAAAGCATCTTGCTATAGCTCCCAGATTGAGCTTGAGCCCTGCTCTGGGTTGAGGAAAGAAAGTATTAGGCTACTTCAATGTCCCAAGGTTTATAGGTTCCAGGCTTATCTCTTGGAATCTGAAAGAAAAAACAAGAAACACATAATGTTAAATTTGTTAAGAAGAGAGAACTCACTCCAAAACCTGTAATTCCAAAACCTGTGGGGAAATAACATGGCATCACAGCCCACTCCCCCTGCCCCCCTGTCCCTGGAGAAGTTACTATGTGCTAACACTGGGCAGGGTCATACCACAGAATCTCTCAGAAATGACTGCTGGCTGGCAGTTTCAATGCAGCCAGATCTCTAACAGGCATGATGGTGAAGCTCAGGCTCCAGTATGAGGAGCGTAGGGAATAGCAGGCCACCCTTCAGCTGAGTTCCCTGTGCAGAGCCACGGGTTGTTTTTCCGCAGATCTCTGGATATTAGGGACCTTGGAAGAGTTATGCCCAAGAGTGAGAAGGCAAGCCCAAAGGACACTGCTGGAACAGAAAGAGTAACTAGCTCAGCTCTAGCTCTCAGCCAAGAGAGAAATTGCTCCAACAAGTTTCACAGTTGTCCATTCTGTCACTTCCGAGAGCTGGTTTATACTAGTAGTTTCAAAAATGTACACATAGACACTAGCATAGGAAGGGCAACCCCTTTCATCTTGTTGCTGTTTTGGATGGGGATGTTGTTCAACTCGTACAAGTACTGGCAAGATATGCGAAGGGATTTAGGTGCCTTAATATACAGATGCAGATAGGTAGCTTGGTAAGTATGGCAAAGCACCTAAGCAGGTTAGGTGCCTGATTCCTATTGCTCTTCTTTGGCCCCATCATTTCAAAGTCAAACAGGTGCCTCACCTACTGAGGCACTCGTGAAAAATCCCACTTGTTCTCTCGCTGTCACTTCAGGTGCCTAAATGACTGAAAAGTTAGCTTACAATGACTTGCTTTCATCATGCGCCACAACCTAACACATCACAGAAAATAAAAGAAGAATCTTCAGCAACCAGAATAAACCAGCTAGTAAGCTCAAGATAGCACAGGAGGTTCATTTACCTTTTTCTCACCAGGTTTGTTAATATCATGTTCTATTAGTACTAACCCCTTTGTGTACTGGGAACACACTTTCACGTTTGACTTTGCCTTGACACAGCAGACCATATTTCATCCCTGGTGAATGAAAATCACCTATGAAGTTATGCCAGGTATGAATCTGGCCTATTGTGCTGCCCTTCTCACCACCCAGTCACTGTATGGCATGACTTATGTTGTGTCACACACACTTGCAGTGTAGCAGCAGTTCCTTACACTGGGACAATTTGCCCCTCACTAGCCACGCTGTCCCCTTTCGGTGCTCAGAGGCAGGAGTTGCTCTGCCCAGGCTTCGAATTACACTTTGACTCTTGGGGGATCTGCAAAAAAATTGGGCTGCCCATCACGATGCCCTTATAAAACTGTAGGCCCCCCCGGTTATGATTTTCCAATCTTATAGGGGGGGTCTAGTTCTTTATGGGGGACTCAGCCCCACCCTCCCCAAGCTCCCCCATAATTCGTACCCTGGTTCTACCTAACATTGAGGCTATGTTGTAAAGCTTCTGCACTCTATTTGAACAGATACCCATTTCCCATTCTGTTTGAATAGAGCTCCATACCCAGGCATTATCACTGTAATTGGGATGCTTATGAATATAGATGTTCTTGATACAGGGCTCAGTCCCAAAATCCTTCTTTGGGCAACAGTACCATAGAATTCAATAGACCACTTTACTTTGGATTTACATAGGTAAATCCATCTACTTTGGACTTACATAGGTATAACTGAGGTCAGAAACTAGTGTCCTATAAATACCAAGTAAAAATAGAGTGAGGGACTCAGTTTTGCCCGCATGTAGTCATTTGCTGCCTATGTACAATTGCCCTGCAATTTCAGATGGATAAGGTATCCTTCCTCTTCTGTTCTACATAGTGTTGCCTTGAAAACAGGCTTTTATCTGAAGGACCTAAATCCCACTCTCACTGATGTCAATGGGATTTTGTGGCCACAATTTTATTGAGAGCAAGATCAGTCTATGTATTCATTTATTTAAAAACATATCTCTCCTCTGCTATGGCTACATGTAAGAGTGTCATACAAGTATCAGACACTCAGATTCAAGTTGAATACATACAATGAATTCTCCAAAACAGGGGCAGGCAATTATTTTGGGCGGAGGTCTGCTTACTGAGCTGTGGCTAGCCATTGAGGGCCGCATGATAGACAGCCAGGGGCAGATAAATATTAATTTTCTAAATTTTTTAGGGGCCCTGTGGGCTGGACAGAATGGCCTGGAGGGCCACATCTGGCCCCCGGGCAGCATTTTGCCCACCCCTGCTCCAGAACATTAAAGAATAATTGAAAAAATAGTCCCAATCAACTATTCACTTTTAATATCCATTGCCGTACCACAGAGAGCTTTCAAGAACAAAGGAGGAATACACAGCTGGAGGCCCTGGAGGATCTGGGCTCTGGTGAACAAACTGATATGCAAGTTCATAGCTGAGAACCCAAGAGCTCCTTGCTCCAGTTGCCCACATATACCGAGGTGTCTCAGTTTAGGCATCTCCAGTGATAACTGTGGCTGTAAACAGACATCTCATCACAGACGACTGGCACATGTCCCCCCTGAGATTGGCCCCTGACTCACCACTGCTCAGGGGACGGAGCAGTTGTTTTGCTGTGTGGGTTGGCTGTGTGTTGGGGGCAGGGACACTAAGCTGCAGCATAGAAGTATAGGAGTGGATATGGGGCTTTTGGCCTGCCCCCGGGCCCACCCACAAATTGTGCCCCTCACAAGCCTCAGGAAGCACCAGTCACCCCTGCATCTCATTTAACACAGGCCTACTATCCTGAGATTTCACCTGGATCAAACCCAGCATTGCAGTCATTTACACATTACTTTGTAAGCTGCACTACTACCCTTCACCAGCAGGTGGTCACAGAGAGCACAAACTTGGCCAGCTTGTCTGGCAATGATCTGCAATAACCTTCCATACAAAACCATGTCCCCAGGAAGAGTGTTAGTGCCTTCTTATCCTCATACTTCAGAGGAACCTGAGTGAGAACCCATATGTCTGTAGGTCCCTGAGACGAAAGGCTTTCTCTTGGGACAAATGAAACGTCTATTTACAGCTGTCTTGAGGACATGCGGATCGGAAACAAGCAGGACCCAGCTCACTCAGGACTATACAAATTAAAACAAACATCTTAAATTATTCCCAGACCTTATCTGGAAGCCAGCGGAGGGGAGCTTGCATGGAGCTACACTTATTCCTGGGCTATGGGTACAGAAGGAAGTGAAATGACACCCGGAAAAGTCAGCTCATGATTTATAAAGAACATTTGAGTTTCTCTACATGCAAGGGAATATGCATGTTCAAGTTGTTATCACCAGAAATCCTGGTTTTCTCTGATTTAAAAAAAATAATCCCCAATTTTCAGTTTAAAAAAAAGTAACCCCAAATCCACATTTTTCCATGATTAAAATGAAACACTACTAATATATAGATATTAGTATATATATTAGTAGTGTTTCATTTTAATCATGGAAAAATGTGGATGGGGGGGTTAACCAAAATTTGGGGCTTTTTTTAAATCAGAGAAAACCAGGATCCCTGGTTATCACTGAAGAAACTGCGTAGATTTGCTAGAATCTGTTAAATTCAGAACTTAATTTGGCTCAACCTGTTTGATGATTGCATATCTCTAAAAGTTAGCACCTAATGCACCAGCAAGAATACATAGAACAAAGTATTGTTGATTAAATAGAACACAAAGTTCCAGCAATTATAAGTACACTACATAAAAGATGAAGCTAAATGATCATTTCATGTGGCAAATCAAAATGCAGATTAATTCAGAATAAACAGGATTGGAAACAGGATGAAGCAGTGGCTAAACTGGAAACGTTTCCAAAGAATTCATAAAAACTTCATTACCATCTCAGTAAAGTCATCGGCACAGACCATTCGAATCTGCTCAGTGGTAAGGGGGCTGTCCAGTGTGAAGTTCTCTGGTAATCCTCTTTCTTTCCTCACAGAAGCTATTGCATCCCTTATAGCGAAGAACACAGAGCTCCCAAGGAACACCCCAGCTTCACCCATGCCCTAGGAGAGAATAAGGCAGTTGAAGAGATTTGAGTTAGAAATTGGCAAGTAGGACCAGATCTCTAGCTGGCAGAAATCTGCTGAAGTCTGTTGAACTGTATTAATTTACACAAACTCAAGATCTGGCCCAGATCCTTAAGACAGCTGATAGTTTTCAACACAGTAAATCTCCTCAGACATCTCATAGCTCCAAACAGGGAGCTGTTAAGGACTAGGATTTGGCCCATAGGGGAATATTTATAGATACACAATGAAAAAATAAGTAAAAATAATTGTGACTAGGACTGCATGGGTAACACTGGAAAGTAACGAAATAACTCAGGATTTTCAGTAGAAACCTAGCTTCACTATACACAAATTCACTACAAATGGTACTCTTGACTTATGATTAAATGCACTGTTAGGACCTCTGGGATCAACTGTGCATCATTCAGTCTCTGAAAAGAAGTAGGATGTTCTCTTTGCCCTTAGAATCTTCTTCATTTGAAAGAGGCTATTTATGTTAAGCCAGGGATCAGCAGCGTTTTCCAGTGAGTTTTCCATTCCAGCCAGGCA